TTTTTCTTCTTCCTTGTTTTCTTCATTCTTTTTGGATATCTTGGCTTGGTAGTATCTTTTTCAAAGAGGAGGTAGGTGAGATAAAGGCAGTAAAATAAAATTTAAAGGCCAGGAAGGTGATAAGAGGCCTTGAACTGCGTAAATAATTACGCTTGACTTACTGAAACCAGCACTTTCCACCAGGACAGAGGTTCTGAATCTTAGGAACTCTTAAAATTCCCGATGCCTTCCCAGATGCCCATGTAGACCGATTCAGAATCTCTAGAGGCAAAATCCAGGCATCAGACCTTGTGCCAGACACTCCACTGAGCTTCATGCTAGAGATTTCTTTGAGGCTTAGTTTTCTCATCAATAAAATCAGGAAAATAGCTGGTGGTAAAACACAGACTCATAATATTATAGCATTGAGATGGACCTTCACCCTAGTATCAGGACAATAACATCGGATAAAGCAGGTCAGCACTTTAAAAATAAAAATGCAATAGTAGTGTGGCTCAGTTGGTTAAGTGTCCAACTTCTGCTGAGGTCATGATCTCATGGTTCGTGGGTTCGAGCTGGGCATCAGGCTCTGCGGTGACAGCTCGGAGCCTGGAGCCTGCTTCAGATTCTGTGTCTCCCTCTGTCTCTCTCTGCCCCTCCCCTACCTGTGCTCTGTCTCTCAAAAATAAACATTACTTTTTTTTTGAAATATAGTCATATATGTGGAATATTATAGTGGTGATAATGTAATTCTATTTACAAATAAGAAATCTTTTTCTAGAAATGCCAATTATGTTTATGAGCTTATCACTAACCTACATTTTCTATCCATGAAGTGTCGCTTGGGGGAAAGTGACTTGACCTAGTCCCCACCCCTGGAGTGATGGAGATGTATAATGCCTATTTCAGTCTCTTATGTGCCTAAATCCTGTGGCTCTCTGCTAGAAACTACTAAGATAACTACTTAGCCAGGGTAAGGAATAGCTGGGATACCGAAGAACACAACAGAGTCAATAATGCACACATTACCTACATAGTGCTTGGAGCACACTAATGGAATTTTTTTTTTTTTTTTTTTTGATGAGGGGGTTTTCCTTCTTAATCAAACTTCAAACCAACAATTTGCATTTGATGAGCACATAACAACAGGTGAGGGTTGTTCCTCTCTCAGACCCAAATCCCCCAACTATTTATCAAGTACCTACACAGTACTAGTGCTTGAAGACTGACCTCTGACTCTTCAGATATCTAATTCTTTCTCCATCTTTGTAACAACCCAAGAGGCGGATTCTGTTATCTCTATTTCACTGACACAGAAACAGGTTCAAAGGAGCGAAATGACGGTCCCAAGGTTACATAGGAGGGTGAGCCGGTGCTCCTAAAAATCCACATTCCTCTCCTAGACACATGGCTACACACTGATGCTGCCATTGCCCATCTGGTTTGCTAGAACAATCCATGGAGAGGCCTTGCTCGTGACTCTTCCGATAACAGAGCAGAGGCCCAGAACACCAAGGGGCAAGGTGGGATTTCCACCCGGAGTGAGTGAAAAAGTGAGCCTAGAGTTAGGGTTAAAACAAGCGACTTTTGCTGACTAGATTTTCCGATTCTGTTGCCCTCCTCTCCGTTTCATAAGAGACTGCCTTTTCAATTCCAAGGGCACCAAGTGAAAAGGTCACTGTATAAGCAACAGAGAAAATTAGGACAAATGAGAGAACAGGAAATGCTTTCTGATGACTTCCTCAGGGCTCATATAATTATTATTACCTTCCCCCACTAAGGCAGAGTCCTCGGCGGTAATCAGATATAATTTGATCGCCAAATGCAAAATGCCTTGTTAAATGGACTTCCTTTTAAATTCCTAACGTATTCATTTTGATGGCCTGCTTGTTCATTTCGTTGCCCTTGGAGACCCCCGCGAATACTAAATGCTGGTTATGAGAGCTTATGTATGTTTTCGCATTTATGTCTTTGAGACAATACTCATTTTTCTGATTTAGCCACTACATAAATATAATTTCAAAAGTCAAGCAGTCACTTCATACATTTTAGGTTTTTTACCAAAATTTTTAAAGTTTTTGCTAACATCAATATTTTTTTCCCTTAGAATCTAAGGTCTATTAGAATTACATATATATTTTTTTAGTTTACAATCTCCTAGTTAACTCCTTAAATGTTATCCTTGCTTTTAGGACATGTCTTTAGGGAATCTGAGAGGGAAAACTAAAATGAGAGCAGAAGTCCAAGTTTTAGAGGGAGTGGCAGAGCCTAATTATCGGCAAAGTGGGACCATGTGTAAAAATGTGTACAAAGCAGGTTGCGAAGGCTGAAAGTTACTGCTGAGATATGTACATGCTGCCTTAGGAAAAGAAGCAACCTAGTTTTTCAAAGACAGCAGCCAAAATTCTTCTTAATTTTGTTTCTTGAACCTCCCTGAGTTGGGATATATATGGAGATAGGGTCCTTTGGTTTGGAATCTGGGTAAGGCTGTTTCCAGTTGCATCCCAGTCCCCTCCAATACATAGACGGATTTGCTCACCTTCACAAAACTATCTTAGAACAAATATGCAGACCCCACTGGAGATTGCTCTGTTGGACGGCCTCCTTCAGGATGGAGCTGCGGTGTCCCCCCCCACCCCCCCAACCAACACTGGCTGCGGGAGCCCGCCCCTCACTGCCACGTGACCGTCTTGTTCTAGCCGAGTTTCCAAGGACAGGCTTGGCAAGCAGTGGTCCTCCGATGAAAATGTATTTAAAATCTAAAATGGCTATTTATAGTCCATGAACCTCTTTCCTCTATGGCTCTTCATTAGCCTTCCAAGGCCATGTTTCAAATTCAGACTTTCTGGTTTATTCTATGTGGTCATAGTTCCGCTGTTTCTAGTGCTAACATCCAATTCTACAATTTGTAGATCATGGGCTTATTTTTGCTTTGAATGTTTATTTTTGAGAGAGAGAGAGAGAGAGAGACAGAGACAGAGTGTGAGCAGGAGAGGGGCAGAGAGAGGGAGACACAGAATCTGAAGCAGGCTCCAGGTTCTGAGCTGTCAGCACAGGCCTGATGAGGGGCTTGAACTCATGAACCGTGAGATCATGACCTGAGCTGAAGTTGGACCCTTAGCCAACTGAGTCACTGAGGTGCTCTGATCATGGGCTTTCAATTAGCATGTAGACCAATCAGAACAAACTGCTGCCACCAAGAAATGCTGTAGCTGACTTATGCCTCTTCCTCCCTGATATCTAAGAGAAAGGTGCCATGACCTAGGTAAGTTACTTTGGAAAGGTTGCTAACTTCTATAACCATCATCACCACCATAGGATGTAAATATGCATTTTTTTTTTTTTTTGCAATATTCACAGTGCTTTCACATAGAACAAAGGATAGGTAAATGCAAATGTAGCGCATGGGACTTTAGCTGCAAATTCTGGCTCCATCTAAACACTGCTACTTTGGGCAAGTCACTCCTCTGTAAAAGTCTCAGTCTCCTCCTCTGTAGAATGGGTACAACAATACCCACTCTGCCTATCTTCTGGGTTTATTATTAGGCATAGATGAGATGGTTCCTAAATTCTCCCACTTCATAGAAAAGGATAACTTTTGTTTAGCACCTTGGGGGAAACACAAATGTTTTGAGGCTGGAGATGACCACTCCTGGACTCTAGATGCTCTACTTGACTATCCCAAAGGCCAGCAGTAATATCTTTATACATTTGGATGCCAAATGGGGAGCTCTGCTATATGAAAATATTTAAAACAAACTTTAGCTATATATCTATACACACTCATATGCATATATATTCTCCTGATATATATGTGTGACTATATATGTGAGCATATCATCTGTGTATATACATATACAGATATATATATATGTAAGGTACTAAAACCGAGGCCCATGGCCATCATGTGGCAGAACATGCACACTTGTCACTTCAGATGCAGTCTGTCTCAATGCTGTGCTTTCACTTATCCTTAACAATTAGTGTTTGGGAAAAAGATACATGACTAATAACCAAGGTGATAATTTAGAGAAGTAGAACATTTTGTTGCCTTCAACCCACAGCCAGATCACTCCAGGCAGTAGAAAGGCTGGCCAAATTTCTATCACTGAGCTAGCAATTGTATACTTGTTCCTGTCTGTGTTCATGTCCATTTCCATATGCAAATCTGATCTGTCTTCTACTCTGGCAGTAAGAACCATTAAACTTAGGTATGGAGTTTCCACATGTGAGTGAGGGTTACCACAGTGCCCAAGATTATCTAGTTGTTGGGAAGGACATAATCAGTTCACATATGTGAAATACTCAAAAGAGTCATGGGAAGACTTTCTAAGTGAAGCACTCTATATGTATTGATCACTATTCAAAACAAATCTTACCAATCAGTTGTAAAGAGATCCAGGAAAAAATATAAAGACTGTGCTCTGGAGAATTCTTTCATAAGGATGTATCATTAAACTGTAGTATTCAAATAGCAGCAGCAGCAGCAGCAGCAGCAGCAGCATCTGGGAGCTTTTGGAAATTCAGAGCCTCGCATCTACTACATTAGAATCTGCATTTTAACAAGATCCCCAGGTGACTTGTGAGCACATTCAAGTTCAAGAAGTGCTGCACTGGAGTACTTCAAGGCTTATATGGAGACCTTTGGGTCAGCTGTATATTTGGTGGGAATAATGCAAAAACAGTAATGACTCAGAAAATCTTCTCTGTCTTACTGATGTATTCAGAATACAGCTTGGGGAGGTGGGGGTAGCGACCACGTGCACGCACTTCCCTGGTTAGAAGGTAGTCCCATCTGAGTCAAATAAAATGCTCTGTGCAAGGGACCACAAGAGCACACATCAGCACGGATACATCAGAGGCCGTCGTGGAAGAAGACTGAGACCCCTTAACTGTTCTGGCATGCTTGAGAGGGAGGAACAAATACAAACAAATATAAAAGGAGGTGACGCCATGAGGAAATCTGCAGTTTTACAAGGGAACATGAGGAGTAGGTGGAGGGGAGGGAGGAAGTCACTTACATTAACCCAAGGGTGCTCGAGGACCTGCACAGCTGAAAATCGCTGATCGACATCGACCAACAGCATCATGGTAATGAGCTCCTGCAGAAAGGAACGGTCAACTCCATTGGTCTAACTTTCACGGTAACCAACTGAGCATTTTCATACGCAGAAGTTCTCTCTTAGTTTGGAAAAGCTCTACATCTTAAATATATCAGCTCAACTTACCCACAGCCACCTAACACCTTTAGAAGCTAGAGGAAAGGTGAACATTTAGAATTATAAATATATTGCTTATAGGTGAGAAAAATTAAATTAATATTAGAATAACTTCATTAAAGTATATTTAGTAGAAAATTAATAAGTTATACAAGTTAAAGAAATAATATTCTTTTTTTGTCTGGAATTTTGTGCTTTAGAGGCAGATTTCTAAGTTGGTTTAAGACAGAAATAAGCTCAAATTGCTTCAAAAATTTCCACATCAATCAATACCAATAAAATGGAACTATTAAGGGACAAAGGATTTAATGGTTCTGAAATTAATGAGACTTCCTCATGAGCTCAAAATGATTTTTGAGGAAAGCACAGCTTGGGTTTTAATGATGAGTCTGTCATACGTTTGTCCACTTTGGATTAGAAGTTCGCATGTAACGAAATGGTTAGATACGTGTTATCCAGTTCCTTACATTCACAGGGTCTGAGTGCCAGTCCGTGACGGGGATGATTTATTTCCATTGATACAGAGATTCTACCTTAAAGTTCTCATTATGTTCTTTTCCTGCTTCAGGCTCCTTTGTGCAAGAAGGCATTCATTCTTCTGGGCCAGGACTTATTAAAGCAACTACTTTGTATGATGCCCTTTGCCAGGTGTCATTGGCATGTAGGAGATGGTCCTCTCTGTCAGTGACTTTGAGCTCTCTTGTTATGGAGTGATGGCATAAGGTATGTTCCTGAAGAGACTGATCATGGGCAAAAACGACTCCACCCCATGCATTATCACTCCATCCCCTATCACCTTTCCGCCTTTCCTGTGACACTTCTCTCAATTCCCCACAGCTTCCTAGGCCCAGAGGAAACTAGAAGCCCTAGACAGCTGAAGAAAATGAAAGCCCTGGACTTAGTGTGCATCATTTTCTATGGAAAGTGGCCAGGCAGAAAGAGTCAGGCTTTCAATTGAACTCACACTCAGGACACAGCAAAAGGAAATGCATACACATCAAATAATCAGAAGTCAATTATTTCCCAACATTAATTTTTTCCAAAGTTTAAGTCAATGCTTGGAGACAGAAGTTTAAGGAATCAATTAAAAAGTTTTCATTTTTATCTCAAGTTCTAACTAATGTCTCCATGTAAGAGTTTTACAGTTTCCTTAGATGTTGATCTCTTAGTTTAATGAGACAAAAGCCATATGCCTTGTTTCCCTCTGCCTTTACATCCTGTCTTTCAAGGTCCAAGTTAAATCGTAGCTTCCTCTTGATATCTGTGTTGATCATTTGAATCAATGAGCTTTCTTCACTATACTTGATTAACTAGATGTTTCATTCACTCATTCGTTTATTTATTTATTCATTCCTTGAATACATGTTAAGCACCAGTTATGTAAGATGTATCCACCTATCTACATCTACTTCTCTAGAAAGGTAGACAGATAGAGAACGGTAGTTAGACGGTATACCAGATGGACATGTGGGTATAAGAGCTATAAAGAAAAATAAAGCAGATGAGGAAGATAAGGTGAGCTAGGTTGGTTAAAGAGCTATAACTGAAAACGAGGTGGTCTGGGAAAGCTTCACTGAGAAGATGAAACTGAGTCAAGACCTGAAAGAGGTGAAGCAATAAGCTAGGCCGCATCTGAGGTAGGTGTGGGTAGGGCGTAGCGAGAGGCTATAGCAATGTAACTGGAGTAACAACAGGGAGCAATGAAGCCAGGGGAACAGAGGCACTTGGTGAGTCGAGATGGCCATGAACAGAGGGCTTGATGACTGTGAACTCTTGGAAAAACCTTATAATTATAGCCAAAATAGACAGAAATCGTATTAACAATATCATTAAGTCTCCCTGCACAAAACGAGCCAATATCAATAATTCCATCAAGACACACAGACTATAAGAAAGAAGAAGGCACTGGAAACCTACCTTGGCAGAATCGGAAACGTTATCCCAGTACGGAGAAGGAAAGTCCACTTGCCCCATCAAAATCTGATCAAAAAGCACCTCCTGGTCATCACCACTTCTGTTTAGATGAACAACAAGGGAGAAATAGCACTAAAATGTTAACCCAGGGTAGGTCTCTTCATTCCTATACATTAGAGCCTTTCCTTTCCCCATAAATGTGTAAAATGTGCGTGTTTAAGCAATTTAAGATGTCAATATGGAACTGTTTTGGTAAATTAAGAAAGAATGAGTTTTTAAATTATATGAGGAAGATTTATGGAAGGCATATAAATTAGCATGTACAACATAGAAAATATAACAGGCACTGTGAGCAAAGTTCTTATTATGTTCCTCTCCTGCTTCAGGCTCCTTTGTGCAAGAAGGCAGAATGGATCACTCAGATGCTTTGTTGGTGCTGAATAAAAGATTACTGCCCATACCCGCGGAATGGAGGGAAGCCACACAGCAGGATGTAAGTGATTACACCAGCTGCCCAGATGTCCACCTTGAGGCCATATCTGGAAAAGTAAGTGACGTTAGAGTTAGCAAAGTTAAGCCAGGACAAATTACGGGACATAGCAAAATAGATGACTCTTCTATTCTAAACCAAAAACCAACTACACAAAATAAAAAGCCCAACAACAAATAATAAACTGAAACCCACTGGCTATACAGAATTCAAGGAAAGAATAATAAAGAGAGAGAAAGAGAGAGAGAGTCCAAGATATACATGAATAAAAATCAAAGTAAAACATGCTCACAATCATATCCAAATGATCCAAATGATCCAAAGTGAGGGGTTTCATCAAAAAGATTCATTATATTATTATTATATTATAATCATTATAATATGATTATATATAAAATATAATTATACAATATAATACAAAACATAATTATAATATTGTATTATAGTCATATAAATTTTAATATAAGGATGGACCCTTGAAACTATCCAATTCCCTGATTTTAGAAATAACAATTACATATAGGATATTGCCAATTTATTATTTTTTTAATGTTTATTTTGTTTTGAGAGAGGGGGACAGAGAGAGAGCAAGCACAAGCGGGGGAGGGGTATAGAGATGGAGACAGAATCTGAAGCAGGTTCCAGGCTCTGGGCCGTCAGCACAGAGCCCGATGCAGGGCTCAAACCAACAAACTGTGAGATTATGACCTGAGCCAAAGTCAGACGCTTAACAGACTGAGCCATGCAGATGCCCCAGGACATTACCAATTTATAAAGGACTGACATACATTATCTTATATGCTGTTTTTCTAATAACTCTTTACATCCTCAGGATAAGTACTGTTGCTTATTTTATAGAGGAGAAAACTGAGATTCAGAGAGGTAAACAGTTTTCCTCAAGATCACACAATCAGTGGCAGAGCTGGGTTCCAACCAGGGTCTTCGAGAGTCCAACACAATCCACTTTCTCCTCCCTCCTGGGGGGGCTGTCAGAATACTCACAGTAGAAAATGCAGATATGCCTGCGGCAGTACTCTCTGAGGGAGGTCAGGCAAGGTTACAGATGTGGGCTCTCAACTCACTCAAATTTGATGAATAAAAAAGTCCTCATTACCCCACATCTCACCCTAGGGATTTCCTGATTGGCATTCCCTTCTCATCTATTCTGTATTTCTGCCTTTCTGGTCTCTGGTTAAGCAGAAAGACTATCTCCAGTGGGTCACAGTGGAGGAGACAACCTAGACCCTTGGGTGTAGGTTAGTGCCACTGATTGGGAGAAGAAAGTAGGGCCGTCTCCCCTTTCCCAGTCCTTCTGTGCAAGGGTAGTGCTTCAGAGTGTTCTGTATGATCCTTGGTAAGAAATAGGGGATTTTTTGGAAAGAGCCCTTTATTCACACAGAGTTCAAATGCTGACTGAACTACAATCTAGTCAGGAGCTTCTTTGATACTCAACCATCGGAGTGAGATTATTCATGTGCACAATGGGAATCATAGCATCTACTGGAAGAGGAAGAAGTAAAGTTGCTCAGGACCTGGTGTATAGTAGGTCCTGAGTAAGTGTTAGGCCACCAGCCTTCTCTCCCCCTCCCCCCACCGTCTAGAGATTTTCATTCATCTGATATGGCTGCACACAGAAACCAGAAAATTCCCACTGGCCTTCTGATGCCTAAGGGTGTTTGTACTGCGCAGATAATCAGTGGACCTCCGAGAGAGCCAGAATGAGACTAGACGGGAGAATGAGGGCAGCTGAGAGAAATAACCACAGGAGACTGTCATCACCGCACAGCGGTGTCTGTTTCTTTTATCCAAAAGCGAGTTAATTACCAGCGCTATATGTTTCCCTGTTAGTCCGAACATTTTTTACTCTGGGGTTAATAACTGCTGTTCTACCTTTAACAAAGGCCAAATGGAAGCCTTGAACAAGATTGCAGTAATTGGCAACTTGATTGGGGAAACAGAGAAAATGGCTCCCACTTTAAAGTTGAAGAAAAAAGAGTGAAAGAAATCTGATAGCTAATTCTGTCTGGATGGGCACAGAGCAGTACTTTCTCCTGTTCTTGAAGCAGAATAGCTCTTTGGCAAGCACAGCATTTCAGTAAACACACAGGAAGCATTTACCCAGTCTCTGCGATGATTTCTGGAGCCACATATGTTGGAGTGCCACAGACTGTGTACAGGGGGCCGTCTACAATGGTGGCCAGTCCAAAGTCACCCAGCTTCAGCGATTTGCTGCCATCTTGGTGTTCGTACACCTAAAGGAAAAGTAAAGAGTGAAATCGCTTTAAAACCAAGAGCTCAAAAGCTGTATCTTGAAGAAATGAGGGGCACTATGGTTTAACTTGCATGGACTTATCATAAAGTAAAAAAAAAAAAAAAAAAAAAAATCAGGCAATTATGCAAGGATATACTATGAGAATATCTTTTTTTTTTTTTTTAGATTACAGCAAAATTGAAGAGGTGGCAAACAAGCAGCAAATGGAAATTCAATAATAAATTACCGTTCATTCACACAGTGGAATGCTACATGACTATTAACATGGCAATGTGGGCTTATATTTATTGAAATATGTTATTTGGGGGGAAATAAGGGCAGATTTCAGACTGGTTTGCATAAAATATATATTAAAGGAAAAACATGTACAAAGAAGAATGCCTGAAGGAACACAGTGTTCGTGTGTCTGTCTCTGGGTAGTAGGATTAAGGCAGATTTCTTTTTCATTTTTGCTCCTCTGTATTTAATGTTTTTCACAATTAAAACTGATTTGTGTAATGCAATGAAATATAGTCTCAAGCGCAGTATCTCCAACATATGAAAATAATTGCCTCTCCATTTTGATATATAAGAGGACTTAAATGTACAGGTCTGTAGTAACTGAACAAAAAATCTACACGAATATTAAAATACTTCATTTTCAGTGGCCCACATTTCCAACAAAATCTATTTACATTTGTTTATTAATAATTGAAAGGGATATTAACATTTCATTTCACCTGTGGCAATTTGGAAAGATTTATCAGGTGCAGAGTCAGCATTCCGTCCAGGTTTCCTTATTAAGGCAGTAAAAGTCTCTAGTCTTTCACCCAACAAATCAAGAAAAGGATGCATGTGACTATAGGCAAGTATTTATACTGCTTTAATTCCAGCCCATGATCAAACCAAATGGGTCTGCTCTAAAAAGTATCCCAAACAACTTCTACTATTTCAAAGAAAAGATCAAAGGGCATTCAGAATTCTAATTCAGTGCTCTCCATTGGAATCAATAAGACAAGCTGATGTTCCCAGCAAAGGCAGTCAGCAGGAGATGCCTTGAGGAAATGGTGAAGGTTTCCATGCACCTCAGAATAATTCCTCCCCCAGCACGTTGAAGCCTGAACGTTCTTCCGTTGCCGCCTCGTGATCATCTGTACTTGCTACAGTGGCCTGAACCTCCTGCACAGTAAGACATCTCTGCACACATCAAGAGCACCACTACTGTTCGCATTCCACATCTCCCTTTCTTTGGAAACAGCAGATTAACTTCTCATTTCACTGCAGCATAAAGTGCAGATGTTTGGCCGGCTAAGCTGTGGTATCAGTCTCGATCATTTGGGTCTAACTGTTTTGGCAGCGACGGGGAGTCCGATTGATCCTCCCTTCTGGAGTGACCGTGTCTTTTCTGGGCAGAAGATATTCTTTGACGTTTTCTCCTCCCAGAACATGGAGTCTTCTCCCTGGGGCTTGGTCACCGTCTAGTTTGGCCCCTTGGGCAGGTGTCCAGGGACTTGCGGGGTCTCCTGCACTTAGGTTGTTAGGACAAAGACAGACCCAGGTTTGCCCAGTTGTCGTCTGGGGTGGACACTGTCCTCAGTCCTTGAACAAAGTGGGTTCCCGGCCCATGAGCAGGAACAGGTTAAGGGATCCGAGGCATCAGAGCCGCAGAACATAGCAGCATATCCAGCCTAAATGTTCTCCAGCGTAAATCACAATTTTAGTGTGTTAGCCCTTCTGCTCATCCAAATGTTTTTCATGAACAGAAACCTGAGATGGAAATATTCAGAAGATCATCTAGTTTACTTCCCAGACCAAGCAGAACGTCTGACTTCCTTAGTTCCGTGTTGTTAGTAATAACCTTTCTAAAATGCAAAATAACCTCTCACTTTGAGGTTCTGTTAGGTAGGGACATCCACGGGGCGTGTTGTGTGAGGTTGTGCAGATGCAGATCTTAATTTACACAACTCCATTTGTGCAGGAATTCTGTGGTTTTCCTCTGAACATTCTATCTATAATCACCTAACTTTATTCAAAAGTTGGATGAAAGCAGATGTTGGCAGATCCACTCATAAGTCATATTTTGGTTCTGAATGCGACCATGTAATTCTCTCACATGTAGCAAAGGTTTTATTTTTGAGTATCTACATTTTGATAGGAATTCCATCTCACACATAGCCATGTGCTAATTCTATTTAATATAGCCCAACAATAAAGTTCAAAGTTTCAATAACTAAGGGAAAACAAGCACTAAAAAAAATCTTACCTAAAGTTTATGATTATGTAAGAGTAATAATTCTTCAAAAATAAACCAACAGCTTTTAAATAGGACACACAGAATCTATCATTTTAATGTTCTTTCTGTCTTTATCACTTCCACAATGGCCCCTTCCTTTGCTTTGAAAAAACGGAATTTTCGTGAACACAAAGTAGTTAACATGATGCTTATGATAGACAATAGGAACTGAGAAAGAACGGCCTAATCCATGTAATTGAAAACATTTCTAGACACGACTACATTAGAAATGCTTCAGCAAAATGTTTTTGCAGGTGAATAAATGTCCAGGCCTTTCGTTTGGAATTGTGTTTCACTTACTTACTGTCAGACAGGACAGGAAACAAGGTTGCTTTGGGTTTTTCTCTGTCAACACTTTGGGAGAAGGATACAGAAGAATATATTCCAGTGTCTCCTCTCCTGCAATGGGATAGCACCTTTCCTGAGGGGTAACATCAGCCCACCTTGCAACTGGGGTTCGTTCACCCTTAGCGCCTGCTGCAGCCTTGAGCTCTTAGGGAGCCAGCTACAAACGGGCATGAGTGAGGCCGTTGAAAAATGTAATTAAAACTCTGTTAAAATCGCAGATTACTAAATACATCTGTTTCAAACACACACACACACACACACACACTCACAATACCATCCCGCAGAAAGTATTTTCCCAAACGGCAGCTATAAATTTACTTTGAACTAAGTTTTTAATTAAAAGTTAGGAGTTGGAAAAGTTTCCAATAAGTTCACATTTAAAATGTGGAGTCCTTGGCTTAACCGCTCCCAGAACCGATTCTGATTTTGCTCCTCTGCAAGTACAGCTTGGACAGCTTGATCCAGCAAGTGAGGTTCTGATGTAAAAAGAATTTTTTGCCTTCACCGTATTGTAAAGCTTCCATAAAACACGACCCACAAGTGTGGTGGGAGTGCATTGATTGTCAACCAACGAGTATTCACAACATGAGATATAATTTAATGTTCATCCCAAACCCTTTAAATACTCTAGATGTTCCCCCACATTTTAAACACTGAGGGGCTATTAAAGAGACGGGGATTAGTGCAAATTACCAGTATGTAGTGCTTTCACTGTTTTAACTAAGCAATAAAACTGTGTAATTGTACAACACTAATTGAATGCAGCTACCCATAATTGTGGGCGGCCATATGTATCCTATTACCATAAAGATTGTCAGTATTTTGTAAGCTACTCTTGTGATCATTGCAGATGGCTACAGTCAGAGAAGTTGTTCTCTAGGGTTTATTATATGGCTATAAAGACATCCCATGATTTGACAGACTAAATGTGTTAAATGGCAACAATTATGAAAAAGGTTCCAATTAAAAGCTGAAGGCACGTCCTGCCATGAACAGATATAGTGAAAGGTCAAGTATGAGGTTTTTGGCACACCAGCCTTTCATACAGGAAGGAGTTTTCCTTTTTAAAGAAGCGTTTTATTTTTGTTTCTTTTTCATTTATTTGGGGGTTTGCAGTAGCTGTAACTTGCTGAACAGTAGATGTTTGGGCACAGGCCTGATTTCCTTTGGATTAGAAACTGAGACCATTTGGAAAAGTTATTTGAAAAAATAAAAGATTTAATATATAGTCATAAAATGCAGCTGGTGGCCATAAAATAATATGAAAATTCACAGATAACCTGAACCCAGGCTAATGGTTTCTGAGATTCCCATAATAGAGAACTAAGAGCTGACTAATATAACAGATGTGTTGGGACAAACATAATTCTCAATGTTGCTGTGAATTCAAGGATAACCCTGCTGAAATGCTGGCTAATGAATCATTAGTATCCACGGAAATATTTTTCACAGAGGAGTTCAATAGATACTAAAAAATTATTTCACCAAATAGAATTGAACAAAGGTGGCATGAAATTGACAAAGCCATGGAAAAAAAGTCAATTTACTTTTTAACAAATATAGTATCCCTTTAAAAAGACATTGATTTTCCTCTGGCCATGGGATATGGCCTTTACAATCCTTTCTAAGGAAAACGAATTCAATTTAAATCTTTAAGCTTTAAGAAGTGAAGTAAAACAACATTAACGCAGGGGATTCTTTTTAAAAATGCACTTTATGGTCCACATACTTTAAAATTAAACCTCCTGGAAAAAATATTCTTAAAAAAATGAAACCCGTGTTATACCCACAGGTAAAATAGTTATGAAATCAAATGTAAACTGAAATAATAAGAGTGAATGTTACACAGGAGTCAGAAGAGAGGTAACGATACTAGAGGGGAAAAATAAAATACCTTTCAAAGTATTAATCTAGAGAGATCTGGGAAGACAGAAGATGAATGGAAACTCCAGGAAACCTGATTCTCATCCTCACAATAAAATAGTCATGAAACTATCTGAAAAGGAGTCCCATGCAGCTGCACTGAGATACACAAAACGTGCACATTCTGAATTCTCTTGACCACTGTACATACTAGGCTTTTGCTAAAACTGGGAACTCAATGTCATTGCCATTTTAAAAACTTGTATTACATTTTTGTCACACGAGTAATATCCAACATGTCACTGTAGGAAAATTAGAAAAGACAGATAATTATAGAGGGAAAGGAATTAAACTCACCCAGAATCTTGACACCTAGAAATAACCATTGTTAGCATTTGGGGGTAAGAACTTCCAGTCCCTTCTTTACTTCTCTTTCCTTCTCTTCTCCTTCCACTGGACAATATATCCTGAGTGAATGAGCCTGTATCTACATCACG